AAAAGGTCAAGTAAAATTTGACTTTGATCTTGACCCTCTTTAATCCATTTAACCCATCAACCAATTTTTTCTGCATTTGGTAAATAACTGATCTTACCTTTGACATATATAGAAAATTTCATGGTAGGGAACAAATGGAAACTTGGGATTTAATGATTTTAATAAATTATGGTGCAATATCTAAAAAGGTAAATTAATTTAAAGTGAAGGATTTTTCGAGTTACCTCTCTTGAAGAGATTACTTTAGGTTAAATCATATAAACATGAATTATAAATAATAAAAAAGGTAAATATTGTAGCTGATACCAAATGAAAAGTTGAGTGATTTTGAACATTTTGGCCATGGTTCGACAACCTTCTTGATTTGACATGGAACTACTTTCTCATGAGAACTTTGAAAACCTTTGATAAATTGTTTTTGACATAGGACAATTTAACCCTTTGTCTGTCCTGTGCATCATATGTGATGCACAGGACATGTAACTTCCTTGTCCATGCATCATGTGTCGTACACATGAGCCATGATTGGTAAAAATTAAGGATGTTTAAGAAAAGAATCTACTACTGAGCAGGACATCTGAGGAAAGGCCTAATTTAATATTTTGAGCATCAGGATGCTTGCTTGTTTTCAGATTTATAACTTCTGCAAAACAACCCAGCTTATTTGGCAAATAGAATGTGCACAGAGCATAGTGTAAATAACTTATGAATTGTATGTTTTTATTATGAACGTTTGGATAGTACACAAGAAAATACCCTGGGCAGGCAAAGTATTAAGTACTGTTGGTTTTACTTCAATCAAAGTAGAGATGTTAAAACAATGTAATAAAAATAAATTAATCCTAACCAAAATACAATGAATAAAACATCTTGTTTAAAATAATTCTAGCCAAACATTTTAGCTGTGGAAGAAATGTCCATTGATAAAAAGATTTAAGTTTTTTAAATTCTTGAGACCACAACATTTCAAATACATTGGGAATACCTATTTTAGAAATTAACCTATTTATAAAAATGGTGTATAGAAAACACAAAATTATGTTAGTCAAGGTTTTGCAAGAATTTAACTGTGTAAAAAGTTTTTGTGTTTTATATTTGTGATTGTCAGCTAAAAAGTATCAGATATTAAATAATAAAATATACACAAAGTGTTTAGAAACCTATTTTGAATTTTATATAAAACTTTATATTTGTAAATAATTTAAAGTAGCAAATTATTTTTCAAACAACTTGTGTATATCTTTAGTGACAAAAAAAGAAAAAAAAAGAAAAAAAAGAAAAAAGATATATATATATATATAAGAAGAATTTGCTGAATCAACATTAAATCACTATACACACCTTTGTCGAACCACAATGTCAGAGTTGGGAGAGTGACATTGCATGTCCCAACCCTCCGTTTGTGCGTAGAAATTGCACTGTGTTATGGTAAATCGGCCATAGTTGGCACGCACAATACGAATGAGTCCCTTGTGTAAACAACTGATGGACAGTGTGCTTCCTTCACATGTGAACGCTTTCAATTCTTCACCTTGGTTGTATTGAGCTGCATGTACAAAAAGATAAGAAAGCCAATAGTTCATTGCAAATAAAACAAAAACTTTTATTTTTAGTGTTTTAAATTGACAAATGATTTAGTGTTTGACAACATGCTAGCTAAGGAGGTCTGATGCATGGAAAAAAGATCAAGTAGAGAAGCCAGTGAGGAAAATGGTAGATGTTCAGTATGAGGGACATTTGCAAAAGGAAAAATAGAGAAAGCAAAACAATCCTTAATATATTGCATGACAAGTTAACATTAAATTTCTAACCTTGATATTCTTAGTAAGAAAAATAAATAAGAGTATAAATATTTAAATCTAGTTCATAGATTTCTAAAAGCATAAAGTGTGTTTAAGATAGAGATCTAGAATGATAATCCATTTATCAACATGAAAAGCAGGTTTATTTTATTAAGATTCTAAGGTGAAAAATTTTATGTGGAATGAGTAGCCATAGTCAAATAACAGAACTGTCCAACAAACAGGAAAATGGGGATAGATTTAGGAAAAAAAAAAAACCCAGCATGCATTTGCGTGCTCCTGCCTATAAAAGGGAAGGGGAAAGTGTTTTGCAGTAATTCCAAAACAAGATTGAAATCAACATTTTATAACAAAATCATGTTTCTTCAGCTCTTACAAATTAAAGGCAAAAGGTGTATATATGCTTCCTCATGCCTTTATTGTATTGGTGGAAGAGAAACCAATTATTAGTTTGGAAAATGGAAACCACAAACAGAATTTGGTTGCAGCTGCTTATATCACTTTAATGTATCCTTAAGAGATGAATCCAAGACTCCTAAATTGTCCCACTCTCAGTCAACTTGATCAGGGTTTTGTTACTTGCACTATCAAAAGAGTACAAAAGGAAATCCACTCTTCTAGAATTTGGGTGGGTCTTTTAAAATGTCATATTCCTTCAAGATACAGACAATAATGGCTCTATGCAAACTCCTTTTTTATATATGAATTGCCACAACTTCTTGAGAATAGATAGTGGAGTGGTTCCCATTGCCTTCTCCATCTTTTTGAATTCAGAGTTGAACTTCTAGACTGACTGTTGCCAAATTTATTCTTTTGTTTAATTCATAGTTGGGAGGAAAAGAAAAGGAAATCGTTCATGCCTTTCTGAAAAAGATATAATACAAAGTGAACATAAACATAGCTGAAGATATCTAAACAAACAAAAAAAAAAAACAACAAAAACACCTCTCAGCTGGTGAGAAAGGGATAATGAAAAGCATTTTCAGTGAAGATTGCCTAATTAACAACTAATAATCTGTACAGATCAACACATTTCTGAAAACCTAATTTGTGAGAATTTCTGGAACTGGAAAGGATTGATAATTGCTTCAACTGATAATTGATAGATTATTTTTGTTTATTTAATACTAGAATCATTAAGATGGACAAATGCCACAGTCAAGATATTACTGCTGTTATTGATATACTGAAGGGCTCTCTCAAAATAAATTAATTTTTGTTAAATTCCCTAAGATATCCTGTGTCCTGAAATAACAAAATGTGGATACAGCAATAAATTCATAGCCTAATGAATGAAAGATTTCATTTTTACACAAATATTTATTAACATAATTGAAAAAGCAAGCTTTTTTTTTTTATTAAGATTCTATGATAAGGTGTAAAATTTTATAACAAAATCAGGTTTCTTCAGTCTTTACAATTTAAAGGCAAAAGTGTATTTTGACATGGAACCTTTGATAACTTTGAAAACTATTAATTCATAGTTGAGAGGGGAAGAAATGGAAATGGGTTCATGCCTTTCTGAAAAAAGCTTTAGTACAAAGAGGAGGCACGGTGGAGTAATGGATAGTGGCTCAGATTGAGGAATTGGAGACCAGAGTTTGAATTCCAGTCAAATCCATTACATTCACTTATGTGCTAATACCCTTGGGAAAAGTATGAATCCTCCCTGCCAGCTATGGAGGTAAATATCAGGTCAGACTGGGTTTTATAGCTTTGGATGGCAACCTACTGTATGAAAAAAATCTGCCTCGTCAGTCATGTATCGAAAGATACATGATCACCTAAGCATGTATCATGCATGGCATATAACTGACTGACAAAGTGAACACAACATTAGCTAAAAATATTTTAAACAAAAAGAAAAACAAAATCACCCCTTCAGCTGGTGAGAAAGGGATAATGAAAAGCATCTTCAGTGAACATCATATTAGCTAAGGATGTCTCCTAATGTGATTCCTGGTCAATAGACTTAATTCATAAGTTACACAGTAAAAGTTTAAAATCAAAATTAAGCTATAAACAGGTCATGCTACAAACATTGAATATTTTTTTCCTTGATATGAGTCTAAAAAAGACTTCTTCTAAGTTTTTATATAAGGTTAATGCAATTTTAATCCAAGACAAAATATTAATGTTCATATCTTGCCTTGTGTCAATTTGAAATTTTTGAAAATATATATTAGTCCTTAATTCTGTAAGATATTTTGGTCTTAAAGTGAAAATTTACTTTACAAATAGATAACAGACTTAAGATTTTCTAAGTGTAGCTCAGATGTGGCACAAGGCCAAAAGATTGGAGACACCCAGTGAGGATCAAACACACGTTTCAGTCATAATTGATCTAGCAAGACAAGCTTGCTAACTGTTACACAACATCGAGGTGCCCCAGGATAACAGATTTATGATTGATCAATGGAAAGTTTTACTAGAAAATTGAAAAGCTTATATCGAAAAATGAACAAAGTGCATAAATTTTATTTTTGGACACTGTATTATACAAGTCAATATTTTCACAATAAAACTGGTATTGAGCAACCTATGTAGGTAAAAATTTCAGGATATACCCATGAGGAATATGCCATGCAAATTTCTATTTATAATCTAATTTTAGTATAAATATTTAAAATAACTTACTTGGTGGTATTATATATTATTATGCAACTCAAGTGTTGTTCATATTGTAAACAAATATATAATAGTGATATTTTTTAACATGGATAATAAGAAAGGCAAACTTAAAAGAGAAACAAAATATTATAAAGTTATAGTAATGGAATAGAACATTAGCAATTGCAAAAAAAAAAGTTGATCAGAAAACTATAATAAAAAAAAAAAATTACCAATATTGGTTAGTTAATACCAATTTTATTGTGAAAATTTTGACTTGCAACATAAAATCTGGTAGTGCCTTACAAATATCCTGAAATTAATTCAATTCTATGAAAGAATTTGAGCTTAGGATATTTTGCAATAAATATACAATTTAGAAAAGTTCTTTATGCTAATAATTTTTATAATTTTTCAAGTCAAACAATGTACCATTGTATGTATATAATAATAAAAAATAAACTGACCTTCACACATCTGTAGGACTGTGACAAGTAAGGCCACTAAGCACAGCTTCCGCCAGCTGGACATTTTCACTTAGTGCTTGGACAAACACTGTCACTTGCTTCTGACCATTTCAGTAAATGTCTAAAAGAAAAGTCATTTTTGTTTTAAAAGAACAGTTTCTGTAAATTATTTTATTAATCTCAAGTTATACTTACTATTGATAGAATAGAACAAAAGTGTTATTTTTAATAAAATAAATGTGTTGCAAAAAATGCTGATGAGAGAAAGAAATATTCTGCTTGACCCAAATTGACAGCAATATAGTTTTCAATTCAATTTAGAAATATTTATTAGTTTAAGTTTTGTATTAAAAAATATTACTCCATCAATAAATGGAAAAAAAATAAGATAAAAAATATACTTGAACCAGAATTAAAAGGTGAAGGACAAAAACGTTTTACAAAGAAAAATGGAAGAAAAATAAATATTCTTTATAATTGTGTGCTTTGAATAGCGAGATACTAACATTCTAAAAAAGTGATAGGGTTCATGTTTGGAAAGATCAGATTGATGAAATATGTCTTGGAAGCACATTCTGTTATTGGAAGCAAATAAACATGTCCCAGAAATGAAAGAGACAAGAAATGGGGACAGCAGATGATAAAAATGAATAAGCACGATCTTCTATGGACAGTGATAAACATGAATGGTTTCAGATTTTAAAAACTGGATGGCAATGAAGAAGGTGTGGAGGTGGAAGAAAAGTGAACAAATAAACTCAGTGAAGTAATTGGTTTGATATTCAAAGAGAAAAGAAAAATACAAACAGAATTTAAAAAAAAAAAAAAAAGAAAGAAAAAAGTCATATCCAAAATGATGTAACTGCTACACCACCCAACATGACCAATAGAAAATGAAAATGAGATAGAAAATTGCAAAGGAATGAACATTTTGATTTATTCAAAATTTGTATTTCATGTTATTTTTGTTGCTTTCTTGTTGCAACTCTCAAATTATTATTATTCTACAACTCAAACATTCTTTCATATAGACATCTTTACAGAAAATTGTGCCAAAAACAGCTAAATATTTAATAAAATCTGAATTACAAAAAGAAACTAAGGAAAAATTTGTGATAATTCTGGGAAAATATTCAATAAGAAAATGTCTCTGAACTAATATTCTGTAGACAATTTATTAATTAATAACAATGTGGCTGATAGTAATTCTGCTCATAGCATTTTAATTACAACTTCATTCCATTAACAGTTCTCAAAGTAGACACATAACCAAATCGTTAAATTTGCATGTGGCAATGTAATTCTATGCTTGGGAAAAGACTTGACACCATTAATAATTAAAAGTAGTCTTACTGTAACAGTAAGCACATTTGTAAAAATTACTCAGGAGTAAAAAGAGAAAGGAAAATGGTAGGAATAAAGACTAAGGTTAATTTTTCATACAATACATTGCTTGCTATTTTGTGCGTGTGTGTATGAAAACACATTTATGTATAACAGGAGAGGTTAAATAATAATAAAAAACAAAACCTTTCTTGTCTGATCTTTTAACAAAAGATGCATTAAAGCATTTCTGCCTAAATACACATGTGTTAACTTGTGAAAATTATCAGAAAAAACATTTTTAGAAACAAATTTTTCTTCGTTCTCAGGATAGAAATATTAAGATGTAAATGAATAAATAGCATGTATGTGACAAGATAAATTCATTAATAAAATCAAAAATTATTTTTCATATATGGTAAATGCTTTGTTTTATGCAGGATTTCTTTGAATATAAAAAATACACCAAAACTTTGCTTAAATTAAGGTGTATTCAGTTGTAATATAAATTGATTGAAAATAATTCTTAGTTATATTCTGCAAACAAGATTTTGGCCAAAAATAAAAATTATTCTTGATATTTATTAATTTTCATATGATATATGGCCAAAAGTATAAAATAAAGATTATTCTATATTAAATTTCCAAAGAGGAGAGCCTACCAATCACAAGTAGTAATAATTGTGTGTATATATATATATATATATATATATATATATATATATATATATATATATTCTAGAAATCTCAAAAATAAAATTAATAATGATTCAATCTTTTTTTTTTTAAATTAAAAATTCTAATATGATAATACAGAAGCTTAGAAAAGCAAACATTCAAATATGATTAACAAAAACAAACAAATGACAAAGAATGCTAAAAAATAAAGTGAGGATAAAGGATTACAAGATATTTTTTTTAACTTTAAACCAACAATCATTCCTAAATTTGTTTGAACTTAGCTTTATTTAAAAAAAAAAAAGTCTCCACACAGTTAATCTTTAATTAAAGCAAGAGACACCAATATAAGATATTGTTTTTGGTCTTTATTAATTCAAAACCTGTGCACATGAATGAAATGCAAGCACTCGTAATAGAACATCATCTGCCAAAATAAACTGGCTGTTATAGTCAGTGAGTTGGTGGGGAGGCAGGCTGTATGACATCTTTCTTGGAAAGATGTCACTCTCTAAGGAATATGCAGGAAAAGGATGGGTTGTCAACAAAGTTTGACAATAGACAACTTGCCATTCAACCCTCCTTGTAGGAAATTGCAAGCTCCTTTTGTCTTATGCACCAACCTTCTTCTATCCCATACCAATGATTCTTAATTAAGCCTCTTCCTCTGTTTCTCTGTCATTAAAAGGTATATGGGTGACAGTAATGATGAGTGTAAGGCTGAGAAGGGTTACAAGAGAGCATGCTAGGAAAGAGTTAAATTATGGAAGGAGGGGTAAGGAGACCAGAGAAAGGAGATGACTCATATATGACCATGCTTCCTTCCTATTAAAAGATTCAGTCTGGTGACTCAGTCATCAGTGTCTTCTATCTTGCATCCTGCCCTTATTTCCTCAGTCTCTGCATTAGGATCCTTGGTTTGTCACCTCCATCAGCAACACCATCAGTTTGTCTTTCTGTTCATTCCTTTCTCTCAGCTAACACACACACATACACAGAGAGGACAACTAAAGAACAAAGTTAGATGGAAATTCAAAAGCCTTTGCAGGAACCAATTTTGCCCATTGCTTTGTGGCCATCTCTTTTTGGTTTTATGTCTGTCTGGGAATTGGAGCAGACTGTCACCCGAGATGGGACAGGCAGCTTCAAAGAGGAGAGAAAGAGATCAGAGAGTTGAAAGAAATGAGGATTCCCTACTTTATCAACAACAACAAAAAAAGCCAATAGAAAGGATATCAAAATCATTAAACCGTATAACAAAATGACAGTAATGTCCCTACCCTGCATAAATAAAGGCTCTCTTACACATGCACACATACAATTCAATTGACATATATGGACACTGCTCGTATTTGGAAGCACTAACCCACAACCATATTCAAATACACATTTACATTATCATATACATGCATTAAAACATCCATTTGTGTTGATATTAACACTGTATAGAAATAGAAAACACACAATGTAAGTTTTAGAATATTAACAAATGCATGATTATGAAGTCTATACAAGCTCATTTTATTGCTGCAAGCATATAGGCATAGACAGGCAAAGTAAATTAATTAATGAGAGAGAGAGAGAACATATAGGCATAGACAGGCAAAGTTAATAAATGAGAGAGAGAGAGAGAGAGAGAACAATTTCATTATTAAACAGATGATAGCAATAACAACATGTAGGTATCCCTCAGTTTTGGGAAACTATGGAGTCTATGGTTAGCTAATCCTTGTTATAGATGCATACTCAGGCAAATTGTTTTTTTTAACATCGACAATGCTAAGTTGTTGTTTATACTGTAACTATGCTGAACTGACCTTAGTTATTGTTTTTTTGGGAGAGAGGATATAATTTGCTGTGATCAGTAGTCTAACATGGCCAGTATACTCAAGTAAAAAAGACTTTTTTTTTTTTTAATATGGAGATAGAAGAGACTACAAAAATGGTTTACTGATTTAAATCTGAAGTATTTTCATAAGATTGAGACAATTTGAATTTTTTTCAGTTTCTTTATTAGAGTTATCATACATCTTACAATACCTTTGTATATTTTTTCTCGTTTTAAAAAGGCCATCAAACAAATACTTATTGATTATAGTGCTTTTAATAAATTACTTTTTTACAAACAGTTGATGGAACTTGTATCTAAAACTTGATATTAAAATAAAAATTTGTACTCCTTATTCTCATAATGCAAAATTTGTGATACTCAATTGTGATAAATATTAGAAAAAATTAAATCTTATTATTCTTCTATATTGTCATGACACTTCTGGTTATTCTTTACAGGATTATTAGCATCATGGGTAACAATATACCATAATTCCCCATGTATAATATACCTTCATCCATAATACACATGCCTAAAATTGTGCTGAAAGTGTGGGAAAATGCTTCTATTTATGCATAATACACACCTCGTTTGGTAATCAAACCCTATAAATTGTACCTCTCTAATTTCATTACAGCCAGCGTTTCCTACTCTTATTTAAAAAAAATGATTTTAAGCATAGAATAATATTATTCTAATTTAGTTTTATGATAATTCTTATTTTATAGCAAATTTTTAAAGATTTTTTTGTAGCTGTGTATAATAATACACCCCTGATTTTGCTTACCATTTTTAGAAAAAAAATATGTATGGGGAATTACAGTATATGATAGCTCTCTTATTTTGTAGTACAGTCAACATCCTGATATTGCAATCATCCCAGGTTTACCAGTGCATAGCACAATTTTATATTGCAACTTCTTTTTATCAAGTAAGAGCTGTCGAACAGGCTCCAAAAGAGTTCAAATTCATATGGGCAACTTTTAATGCAATAGTAGATTCTTCCAGTGATGATGCAAACATGCATGTATACGTAGTGTGAGATCATCTGAAAGCTAAACATCAGCTGCTGTCTCTAAAAGATGGCAATATTTCTGTCTAAATAAGAGGCAGCTTTATTAGAATTGTTCAGCACAGGAAACTATATCTAACAGAGGTTAGAAAAAAAGAACCCATTTTCAAAAGGTACATCGTTCAGCAAGGCCTGGAACATCTGTTGTAATTCTTGCTATGATGGCAGCTATTGCAGAAATTTTGCCTACTGCCAAGATTAAATTGCCCCCAAATTT